ATGAAAAATAAAGAAAAATTGATAATTAACAAGGCCACTACGGGCCTGTGGAACATAGTATAAGCGACCTGACATGCTGTGTACAAAATTTGTCAGCATCTGGGGGTTCAATATTTGCAGTAGTTGGGACTTCTTTCGCCAATTTATATGACGCCTATTTTTTGTTCAGCTTACTTTTTTTCGCCTAGTTCCCGGGCTGCACGCACCCTCTTAACATTTTACACGATGGCAGTTCAAAATTTTAGTTGTTGGTCTTCTCCGTGATTTGTATATTGTCTGATTTAGAAAGTAGTTTTTTCGATGACAATTAAAGGCAAAACTCGACTAGTCGGCTTTTCCTGATATTCTGCACTATCCGATTCTTAGTTATAATGGGCAGGGTAACTTTTGTGTACCGCAGAAAGCTCTTCAGACCATAAAACCACCCCAAAAATTTATTTCGCAGGGAAGAGCGGCTTCTTCGTGAGATCGTGCCGGCAAAGCTTCTCTGTGACAAGTAAACTTTTTTTAATTCGAGCGAGCCATTAAAAAAAACTAACAAATTCATAAAAGTATATTTTGTCCCAGTCATTTTCATGTTATCGCCGCTGCACAAAATTGTGTCTTCTGCTTCTGGCATGTTTGATCTTAGTCCTCATTGCTGGCATTGCTCTTAGTTCAGAAGCGCTTTTCAAATTGTTCTTTATGAAAGCATGAAGTGCAAATCCGCTGGAAGAGACAATGTTGATGCAGATGTTTTCTTCCATACCTGTACATTTGAGAGGAAGTTGTCGTGTGTATTCCTGTTTCATTTTAACCAGACGATCTGAGTAGGAGTCGTGCAATGGTGTTAAGATAAGCGCAACTGAGCTGCAATTTTTTTAATTGACACCCAGTCGTCGTTATGGCCAGAGTAGCTTTCTTGTTCTGCACGGGCCTAGCGTAGTGTTGAACAACGATAATTAATTGCGACATTTCCACGTTTAGTATAGACGTGAAGCTTTCAAACGGCTGGAATGAAAGCACAAATGTGTAGTTTTTTAATTGAGGGAAAATCGTGATTGGAGGCTTAGATAGGCCTTTAATTTATCTTATAGGCTGAACACGATTTTGCAAGTGTGAAGCTGCATTTTTTTCTATCAATAAGAAACTTAATATTTCCCAACCTTAGAGGATCCACTGGCGGTAACTAATCCTACTTGAATTTTATAGCTTTTCAGTTTTTTATCGTTAATCTAAGTCATCTCATTCCATGCGATGTTACGTTTAAATCAATGTTGTTTTGTTTCACAATTTTTCAAAATACTTTGATTTTGTTTGCTGACTTATCGCAAGCAAATTCCCACTTATGTGCATAGAAGATAGTTGGTCTATTACAGCAAACTTTCGCTTTTCCTAAGTTTCATCTCCATGGA